CTGTAACAAACTGCAACTTTAGGCAACAAACTGTAACTGTCAGCAATAAACTGTGACTATTAGCAATAAACTGACTATTTTGGAAAGAAACTGTGACTAAAGGCAACAAACTGTGACTGTAACAAACTGCAACTGTAGGCAACAAACTGTTACTAGTGGCAACAAACTGTGACTGTAGGCAACAAATTGTGACTGTTGGCAAAAAATGTGACTGTCGGCAAAAACTGCAACTGGAGTCAACAACCTGCAACTGTTGGCAACAAAGTGTGACAGTTGGCAACAAACTATGACTGTAGGCAACAAACTATGACTGTAGGCAACAAACTATGACTGTAGGCAACAAACTGTGACTGTTGGCAACAAACTGTGGCTGTAACAAACTGGAACTGTAGGCAACAAACTGTAATTGTTGGCAACAAATTGTGACTGCAGGCAACAAACTTTGACTGTTGGCAACAAACTGTGACTGTAGGCAACAAACTGACTGTTGGCAACAAAAACTGTGACTGTAACAAACTGCAAAAGTAGGCAACAAACTGTAACTGCTGGCAACAAAATGTGACTGTCGGCAACAACCTGCAACTGTAGTTAACAACCTGCAACTGTAGGCAACAAACTGTGACTATTGGCAACAATTTATGACTGTAGGCAACAAACTGTGACTGTTGGCAACAAACTGTGACTGTTGGCCACAAACATTTATTGTAGGTAACAAACTATGACTAACAAACTGAGACTGTAAAAAACTGAGACTGTTGGCAACAAACTGCAACTGTATGCAACAAACTGTAATTGTTGGCAACATATTGTGACTGTAGGCAACAAACTGTGACCGTTGGCAACAAACTGACACTGTAGGCAATAAACTGTGATTGTAACAAGCTGTGACTGTTGTCAACAAATTGTGATTGTTGGCAACAAACTGTGAATGTAACAAACTGCAACTGTATGTAACAAACTGTAACTGTTGGCAACAAAATGTGACTGTTGGCAACAAACTGCAACTGGAGTCAACAACCTGCAACTGTTGGCAACAAAGTGTGACTGTTGGCAACAAACTATGACTGTAGGCAACAAACTGTGACTATTGGCAACAAACTGTTACTAGTGGCAACAAACTGTGACTGTAGGCAACAAATTGTGACTGTTGGCAACAAACTGTGAATGTAACAAACTGCAACTGTATGTAACAAACTGTAACTTTTGGCAACAAAATGTGACTGTTGGCAACAAACTGCAACTGGAGTCAACAACCTGCAACTGTTGGCAACAAAGTGTGACTGTTGGCAACAAACTCTGACTGTAGGCAACAAACTGTGACTATTGGCAACAAACTGTGACTATTGGCAACAAACTGTGAATGTTGGCAACAAACTGTGACTGTTGGCAACAAACTGTGACTGTAACAAACTGAAATTTTAGGCAACAAACTGTGACTGTTGGCAACAAACTGTGACTGTAGGCAACAAACTGTGACTGTAGGCAACAAACTGTGACTGTAAAAAAACTGCAACTGGAGTCAACAACCTGTAACTGTTGGCATCAAAGTGTGAATTTGCAACAAACTGTGACTATTGGCAACAAACTGTGACTATTGGCAACAAACTGTGACTGTTGGCAACAAACTGTGACTGTAACAAACTGAAACTTTAGGCAACAAACTGTGACTGTTGGCAACAAACTGTGACTGTAGGCAACAAACTGTGACTGTAAAAAAACTGCAACTGTAGGCAACAAACTGTAACTGTTGGAAACAAACGGTGACTGTAGGCAACAAACTGCAACTGTAGGCAACAAATTGTGACAGCTGGCAACAAAATGTGACTGTAACAAACTGCAACTGTAGGCAGCAAACTGTAACTGTTGGCAACAAACTGTGACTGTTGGCAACAAACTGACTATTTTGGCAATAAACTGTGACTAAATGCAACAAACTATGACTGTAACAAACAGCACATGTAGGCAACAAACTGTGATTGTAGGCAACAAACTGTGAATGTTAGCAACAAACTGTGACTGTTGGCAACAAACTGCATCTGTAGCAACAAACTGTAACTGTTGGCAACTAACTGTAACTGTTGGCAACAAACTGTGACTGTGGGCAACAAACTGTGACTGTAGGCAACAAACTGCATCTGTAGCAACAAACTGTAACTGTTGGCAACAAACTGTAACTGTAGCAACAAACTGTAACTGTAGGCAACAAACTATGACTGTTGGCAACAAACTGACTATTTTGGCAATAAACTGTGACTAAAGGCAACAAACTATGACTGTAACAAACTGCAAATGTAGGCAACAAACTGTGATTGTAGGCAACAAACTGTGACTGTAACAAACTGCAACTGTAGGCAACAAACTGTGACTGTCTGCAAAAAAATGGGACTGTGTGCAACAAACTGACTATTTTGGCAAATAACTGTGACTAAAGGCAACAAACTTTGACTGTAAGAAACTGCAAATGTAGGCAACAAACTGTGACTGTTGGCAACAAACTGTGACTGTAGGCAACAAACTGCATCTGTAGCAACAAACTGTAACTGTTGGCAACAAACTTTGACTGTAACAAACTGCAACTGCATGCAACAAACTGCAACAATATTTATGCAGAAGTCCTAAAAATGTTCTCCCATTTTCTCACTCTCTTGACACAAAAATGTAGAATTGTTTGAGAAATTTGTGCAACAAATCATCTTTCTAAATTGTCACATACTTGTTGCAGGTGTTTGGAACAATTCTAAGTTTCTTTTTTTGTAATTCTAGAACACTTGAGCTGTACTTTTTACAGCAGTAGGTATGAATTCACAGCAGTATTTGGACCCAGAATTTACCATCACTTTGTTTGCCACATTCACACTGCACAGTTTTTGACTGTCCTGGACCGTCTTCAACTTTAAAAAGAACAGCTGCAGAAAAATCTTTGGTCATGTGCTTGAATCTGTAACGCCAGAGGCTCACTGCAGACCAATTCATCACTCTCTCAAACAAAGACGACTCATCACAAATATCAGTGTCACAAATATGGGAAAGTCATGGAGCCTGGCTTCATGTAGTAATTAGAGTGTTAACGTCCGCGCTTCAGTTCTTTTAACTGTTGATCTCGACTCTCCTGTGGAAAAGAAGTCAGTTCGACAGCTAATCTTGCAGGTTCCCGCCAATATTTTACAATCTTAAGCAGGTCAATGTTTATGAGGGCTGAAAATCAAACTGTGTGAGCCAGGCTTTAGCTGATAGTAGCTGAAATTATGTTTGGAAAAGGGGGGTTATCAGAACTGATCTTCTTATTGCAATATCCAACAATAATGCTTGTTTTCCTAATCTTGCACAGCTTTTTTCAGAACAGTCGTGTTTCATGTTGTTCAGCTGCTGGATAATAAAACTTAGTATGTATCAGAGCAGCCTTTGGAGGGACGTGCCTGACCTGCAGACAGACCTGACAGTGTTAAGGTCACCCTTCAGAGATCCAGATCAGAGCTTACACACAAACCCAACTCAGATCAGATTGCTTTTTTAAATATATATAATTTCTGACAGATTATAAGCTGTATATTTAAATTTAAAAAAGCCCAAGTATGCAGGAAGCTGCCTTGCATCTTTTGTCTGCAACATTATTTTTAAAAAAGGGGCATTTTTCTGCATGACCAAATGATTCATTCATGTGAATCTCAGGGCCAAATCCAGTGAAGCTCGTGAGCGGAGCGCGTGCTTGGGTGCGCCTGCCGTCTCATTCATGCCTCTCCTCCAGAGGAGGCTCGGACCTGAAACCTGCTGGACCACAGGGGCCCCGCAGCATCACTTAGGGGACAGCAGAGTCTGGATTAGTCCCGGGGTGGATGAGCTGGACTAGAACCGGGACCAGAACGCCCCATCCCTTTAAATGATCGTCGCGCCCCGTAAATAAATATATAAATAAATAAACCCACGCACAATGCGAGCAACATGCTGCGTTCACGAACCCCATCTTCCTGAGCGGTTCCGACTCCCCTGGCTCCCCCGGCACGCACAGCGACCCACCTGCTTGTGTGGTGTCCGTCAGGTCGTAGCTCATCCCCGGGTACTCCCTCAGCTTCCTGCCGCTCAGGTTCAGGATCCCCGAGCTGACTGCATCCTCCAGAGCCCGGTCCAGACTGCGGGCGGTGTGGTGCTGCTGCTGGTTCTGGTACTGGCCCATAGCCGGGTTCCAGTGAGGTCCTCCAGGGTACTCATGATGGCTTTGTAGCGCGGTGACAGCTCCCACGCCTCCCTGACCAGACGCCATTTTCATAAAAAACAGAAATCGCTCAGAATAAAAAGAGCTCGCAGCGGCCGACCCACTGCACATGCGCAAACAGGCTGCAGTGACCGGGACTGACCGCCAGAGGGCGGGCTTCTGCTGCTGCTGGGAGGGATGCTGATGAGGATGATGTGGAGGGTCGGGTAGCCATTTTAGGCTGTAACACCCCCCACCCCCCATCACAGCCTGATTATACCCACCTCATGGAAGGCAGGAGTCAGTCACACAAACCAAAATAATTGTTCAAATGTGGCTTCATCTGAACCAGGAGCATAATAACTTACCATAAATC